AATCTTGCTGGCTTCGAATTGCGAATTGGTGATTATATTCGATGCCAGATGTATGCATGCGAGGCACAAAAGCTTGCAAAACTGTCCACCAATCTATACCATGAAGCATTTGCAATTCGTTCCCAAGCTTTGGCTTCTATAGAGCTCGGGAACTACAAGGATAGCATTGTCTGTCTTCATAAAGCAAGAGAGCTTGTAAACCTCTGTGGTTTGTCTGGGGGCCATCTTGACATCGACATCAGCAACCTTGTGGCAAAGGTCCATTGGCACAAATCAGAATATCTCCAGGCCCGTAATATCCATGTCCAGATTCTCGAAAACAATGATGGACAAGAGACACACCACATTACCGGGGCGCTCTTGAATGTAGCACAGCTTGATGTTACGATTGGAGCAAGTGAACATACTGTACATCGAACCCTGGAAAAAGCAATGAAAATGATCAAATTGGCTCCATTTCCTGTTGCAATACCCATTTACAACAAAATTCTGGGGGAAATTAACCTCCGAGTCGGAAACCTATTGGTGGCCAAGAGCCAATTGGAGCATGGTGTGAGTTCGATATGGGGAAGATATACTGAAGTTGTGTGTCACTGCCTCGAGGTACTCGCTGATATTGGCCAATGGAGGGGCTCTGATGTGGATTGGACATCCAAATGGGCAGTGGTGTACCTGGCATTAGCTTACAAATTAAGACAGAAGTTGAACCTCCACCAGGCCCTTCAATTCCTTGGAGATGTGTTCATTTTTAATGGTGACGAAGATACTGGAGGAAATCTTTTCACCGTGGCCTTGGATGGATTCACTTATATGGATGTCCATCGCAGCCGAGCAAATTGCATGCTGCGTTTGGGAGACCTTGCACGGCAACGAGGAGACATGACACTGGCCAAAGAATTGTGGCAGGAGGCCCAACCATTTTTTGAACGGTCCATGCAAACCAAAGATGTTGAGACAATTGAAAGACGACTTGGTGGCATCAAAGACAAACCCATCGAGGTTCATTCTGGCCACTGAGTTTGGCATGTAGTTTTGAGCTCATACTGCTTCTATGCTGACCATTGTATATACTTGTAAGTACATACATATATGACCAGAGTTGTATTCCCTTTGTGTTCATTTATATCGAACATTGAATAAGATATGGAATACACATGGTCACCCCACAACCCCAATCTGAGCAAGTAGACCTCAAATTCACTGCTGTGTACCAGCTTTTCAACTCACCCGTTGATACGTCCCAGCGTGCCCTGGTCGAGGAAGAACTGGTAAAGCCACCACGTCAAACAGTCTGAATTGAGCTTCGAAACTTCTCTCACATGTGTCCGGGACTTGTCATCATCTATCACATGGAACACCCTGTCCACCTCTGTGACACAACTTGCTTGTAGGTGACAATGAACTGACGACGTTAGTGACTCCGAAATTCCATTGCCATTCTCCCCATATAGTTTTCAGAGTCATTGCATATGAATTGAGCCCATAGCAAGTGATATACCGGAAACAATCAAAAAACACTCAAAATGGAAGAGATTTGGCCGTGCACTATGTTCCACAAGAAGAGGTAAGAGGAATACCATGGAAGGGGCCGGGACTTTGCCAAACTGCATCAATCTGACGTGACAAGCTCTGTCAGGAAAGCCAAAAAAAGAAGAGCAATGTAGGGATCGAACATACATCCAACCCGAATTGGCTGACAACCAGAATTCGAATAATGGGGACTATCACCAACCACTTTGCCAAAGAATTGGAGGAAGGCAAGCCAATAGATCTACAGTAGTTTCTACGTTAAACATTCCCAGTATGACAGGCAGGTGAGAAATTACCTGCCACATGCCTGACACATGCCCAACTAAGGCTGGCTAAGATTATGGGGACTGGCAACGCAAAGGGTTTTGATGGCACTTACATAAAGCATCAAAAGACAGAAAAGATGGCACAAACAGTCGGCCGTCGGTAGTGGTCCACACATGTATGATATCGTAAAATTGTGTGTGAGAGAAACCTTTAGAATTGAATTATGAAGGGAATGTTAGAGGCCGAATTTTTATTTTGCCTCTGAATAATATTTCCATTTTTCAGGTCAATTTGTATGAGAGTCTGAGAGACAAAAATAAAAAATCTGCCTCTAACATTCCCTTTGAATTGACTGTATAGGTTGCCTGCAATTTTGTTTTGGGTCAAAAAGTTAATGTGGAAGGCCACACCGATGGCCAAAGAATAGCTCGAAATCAGCTTGATCGCGGCTTAGGTAATCCATCAAACGCGTCGCGTCATGCTATTTTCCATGTAAAAGCCCTCTAGTTCACTTTGTATCACACAGGACCATTGATCAGGGGTCTATAGATGAATGGAGACAAGTATATACATTTTATTGATAGTCCTGAACACACTTTCATGGTGAAATTATTATTTAAGAGGTCCCCGGCTGTAGACAACAAGATGAGTGTTTCAGAGGGTGGGGAAAGCCCTGAACATAACTAAAAGACCAAGGAAGGTTCATATATGACTTCTAGTCCTTCAAAATCTATATGCAACAATTAATGGATGGTAAACTTAAGGGTATGACTTTCTATGCATTTTCAAGACCAGTCACTGCGTTCAGTCGCTCAGTAGCCGAAGCATCGCCTCGCCGGGGATAGCCGATCCGTTCCGGCTAGCCGGGGTAGCCACGTGCGGCTAAATTTGGCTAGGCTTGGCGAGCGCTTGATACACGACTACCCAGACCTCACAGAATCTAGCCACGTCTCCACAATGACCTGGATATGAGTGAGGTCGGTAATACGAATGAAATTGATGTGTGCATGCCTCTAGGGTAGGTAGCATCGTCAGAAAAAGGATAATTTTGATACGACTACCCTTGACTACCATTGCAACCTAGATCAGAGACCATTGACTAGCTCTTAGGACAATAGCTATATCATCTTGTAGAGTCCAATCCTAATGCTACATGCAAGCTCGCTCTGGCTACGGTCGGTTCGCGCCTACCCAGACATGGCCGTTGTCGGGCTATGCCGGATTGACATCCCTAGCCGCGCCTAACCGGGATCCGGCTACTTCGTCATGGCTACCTCGGGTAGCCTCGGGTGCCTATAGATAGCCAGGGATTCCCACGGCGGCCCACGTCTCACAAATGGCCTGGCTACTGAGGGCCTGAACGCAGTGAGTTTATTGCTGTCCTACAACACTGCTGCTACAAAATCGGATTTCAATGAGGCCAGGAGTACTTCAAATGTGTTTTGTGTGCCTCAGATTTGTTGCAACAAGCGTGTGGTGGCTCTGAAATGGATTTGCCATTGAAATCAAGCATTTGGCAGAGGAACCAAACATCTGCAAACAGACATTTGATCAGGCCAGTCCCCAAAGATTATGATTACATTCAATTATAATGTAATGTAATGGTAGAATTACGATTAAATATGGCTTGACTGTAATTTTAGGGCTAATATTATTGCACTATTACATTACAATATGTTATGATTATATTACATTATATGGTGGGCATAATCAATTGTAATTTGATTAACTAATGGCGGTTGGTGGTGCATCTGGGTGCACTCAGAACATGGAACCTTTCCACTCAGCAAAAATTACAGCATTCAGTTGTCTTCCATTCTGATTGTTTCGGGTGAGGTTATACTGACCAGTCAGACACGTACAAACCTGTTCTCAAGGACTGCACTACAAATTTCTCTTCTTTCTCACACTCTTTCCCGCCTTTTGCAATGCTCGATGATGCTCAGCTGGTCAAGCACTTCCCCACCTTGCTTAAGGCTCTCAAAGCCCGCATTGCTTCGCTACCTGACTCTCTCCCAGCTGGACAAGAAGGGAATCCACTTTGGCGCTATCTCAGTGATCTAGACATTGACAGGGAGGAAGGTGCAGCATATATGACAAACCGGTAATGGGAGCAAGCCCAAGGAGGAACAATGGCAGCACATTGTCTGCAGAAAATTTGGGCTCAACCTTGTCTGCCTGTTGTTGGAATTCTTCTCCCAACAGAACAGCATCAAGAGGGCCAATTTGGTTGGGATGCTGGTACAATGGATCTATCAGTTGAACAAGATTCTGGATTCTATGTAAGACTACTACAGTCAAACCCCTCAAGACCCATGCACCTCAAACCCATAACCCCTTGAGACCCATAGATATTTCATGTAACCATGGTGGTGGGCGGGCGAAACCCATACATTTGTAGAGACCCATGATCCATGGTGATTTCCGGGGGTGGAGACCCATAATAGTATTAAAAAAGCAAATTCTGTGATGATCGAACACACTATAAATTTCATTTTTGCGCCCGAAGCATACAGAAAATCATGGAAGGAGGCATCACACTCCTCAAAAAAGGCTTTGCCGCCCTTGAAAAACATGTCAGAAAATGCAGGACTGCTCTCGAGGACCGCCTCCAGCACGATGAGGTCCTCAATGAGGCTGAAGACACTTGACTGGACAACATTGATGATGATACAGAGCCCGTGACTCGCCCCACCCGCCGTGAGGCCCTGAGCACGGCTGCGACACTGCAGAGCTTTGTGACCACACTCAGTGATACATATGTGTGCAAGCTTGACGACCTCTTCGCTACTTTCGGCTGCCCGCCAGATGCAGCTCGAGGCCACAAATGCCATGTCGGATACTTCAATCACTGATTTCTTTACTAGAACCACGTAGATATTGTTACATATGGCGTACCACTGGTTGAACATTTCACATTTTTGAGTGAAAAAATTGATAAAAAATGTTGTTCAATTTATAGCCATTTTTCACCGAAAAAAGAAGTAAAAAATTTAAAACATTTTCACCACTTTTTTGACTTGAAATCAAAGTGAAAAATGTGAAATACATTTGTGTAATATACGTACCATTAATGTAATAGCTGCAGCAATTACTGAAAAAGCCATTGCATTATCTGCAGGGTTTTACTGCCAGTAATATAACCGTGTAATGCAATACCCTGGCAAAATTGGGTTTGACATTAATGCAAGAAAATGACAAAAGTGCAGCTCCAGGGATCGAACCCAGGACCACTAGATTACCAAGCACAGTTAATTCCCATGCACTAACCATTGTGCTAAACAGCTATAGTATACAGTTTTGTTACCCTGGCTAGGGTAAGGTACCCTTACCCTACCCAGGGTTTGCTAATACCCAGACCTAGGGCAGGCAAGCTGCCCTAGGTCTTCGAAATTGTTTGTTTATGCTTATTATGTATTTTGGGGTGTTTCTAACCCTAACCTAACCCTAACCAACCCTAACCAACCTAACCATCAAATGCTGACAAATATCCTCAACCACAAAACTGAATGTACCTTTGGCCTAACCTCTAACCAACCCTAACCTCTAACCTCTAACCTCTAACACCTGCCAACCCTAACCAGGCCCTTAAGGCAGGGCCAGAGAGGGGGAACATGCTTATTCTGTTTGGGGCCCACATGATATGTCCCCATCATTTTGGTTATTGCTATCTCCCTTATAGCCTAGCTGGTTAAGGTGCTTCCTTAGTTTGGTTTGCTTATGTAATCTGTTGTTTTGGTTCAAACCCTGATGCTGCCATTTTCTTGCCTTAAAGTCAGAAAATGAGTTTCGCCAGGGTATTGCATTACACGGTTATATTACTGCCAGTAAAAAGTTGGAGTTATTAGGGGAGCTCAAAGTTAAAACGCGCCGGACGCTTTTTCGCTTTTTTCGCCGGACGCTTTTGATCAAGTGATCCCGGCAGCGTTTTCGGCGCGCGATCAGCCTGATGGTCACGAAAAGATCACAGTCAAATTTTCGCGCAGCCCACATTCGTTATACCCCGCACTCCACAGGAGCCACCACACTCATTTTACTTCACACTTGATACCAACATGCCGAAAGCGACACCGCTCCGCAGATCTCCGCGGAAACACGATCAGTCGAAACCTGCCAAAGCTGTCAAGAAAAAGAAGGAAGCGGAGCCTGCGCTCCCACCTATCAAGTGGACGGCAGATGACGGGGCGCTGATATGGGCCGTAATTGGCGAGATGGAGAAGAAAGAGAACCGGCTTGTTCTCTTTGGGAAGCAGGGCAATGAGGTGCGTCCACATACACTTCATCTTCGGCCTTCCGTTGATACATGACGACCCAGAACACTTCGGGGGAAAGCAAAATCGCCGTATACAAGAGGATAGGGGCTGAAATCATGCCGGCTCTAGCGGCAATAGCCCCGAATGCTCTCGCAAAGCGGGTCAAAGGGAAAGCAGAGGAGTCAGTTTGTCCGCTTGCCTGTAAATTTCACTGACTGTTTTATGCTGTAGCCTGGTTGGGACGTACAAGACCTGGGCCAAGCAGCTCCAGGTGACTGGTGGGGGCCTTCGGAACGATGATGATGACGGAGATATCGGTGAGGATGCTCATGAATTCCTTGAGTGTTACATCTCGCCCGAAGGCCCCGACCATGATACCACCGAGAAGGCCAGAAATCTCTGGGGTGAGTCATAAAGGAATGCTGCTTCTTGTTTTTACGTTTCTGACCGAATTGCGTAGAGAAAATTACGGAACAATTCCCGTTCTTCCCACTTCTTCACAAATTTCTTGCCGCTTGGTCGAATATTGTTCCACCTGTCATTGCGACGGGGGTTGGACCGCAGGGCCGGAAGGTGGTACATTTGCAGCCTCCCACGAAGGATCCGAATATCGACCCGATGCTCTATTCACCCGAGCGTGGCCACTCAGATCCCGACGACGATGATGACAACAATCAAGGGAGTAGTCCTCCTCCCCAATCGTCACCTCTGGTTCCTGCCCCGAAGAGTTCTCGTGCCAGCCAGAAGACTGCAGCACTTGCTTCAGCCTTCAGCAGTGCAGTCAGTAACGCAAGGGCAGCAAATCCTCGTCCTGTTAAAAGGAGCTTTGAAGACCAGCTTGTTAAGATCCAGACGTACCTCTTCCTCTTCCAGCCTGCCCCTTGAACTCATTTTAATGCAGGGACATGCTTAAATCTGCCAATCGGCGTGAAGATGCGAAATTGGAGATTCAATGTGCTGAACTTCGCCTCAAGGAGGTCAACCAGCTCATAAACCTTCACGCAATCAAGATCCTCGATGACGACACTCTTCGTGAGAGAATGCGGCTTGTCAACGAACAGTATGCAGTTCAGCCTCGTCCAGATTCCCCTCGCGAACGGTCCTCCTCCCCTGTTGCCGGCCCTAGCAGGCACTCCCATTCCTATTCCTCCTCATCAGATGGCAGATTCAGGACCAGTTCGCCCTTCCCATCTGAACATCTCAGATCACGTTAATTTGATTCAACTTTCTTGCTTCCTCGTACACACATTTTAATCAACCTAATCTCTTGTTCATAGCTAGTTATGTCTTTGTTCTCGGTAGGCTAGGAGTTCCTCAATCAACCTGTGTCTTTTTGCCTCTCCCTCTGCTTCATCGTCACGTCCGGGTGGATCAAGACCACCACGATCTTCCTCCTCCTCGTGAGGTGTGTGTACATGGACAAATTGGACCCCAGAATCTTCCCCCTCAACATCTATGATCAGATTGTGAAGGATGATAGAAACAGTAATCCAGCGCAGGGCTTCAACATGATCCCCGTGTGAATTGATGTTGACACGGAGCCCACGAAGGCTCTGGAAACGGCCCTTGAGTGCTCCCATGCAATGCTCTGAACGCACTCGAATGTGTGAGACTGCGTTGTTGAATATTATGTTTTGAGGAAGTAAGGCGGCTGGTCGCTTGTAAACTGGGATAATATGGGAACTGAGTGTATATGCAGAGTCACCCCACGCAAATTCTTCCCCATCAAATAGCCAATTGGGATATTTGAATGCCACGGTACCCTCAAATGCAGCGGAATCGTGAGCAGAGCCAGTGTGGCCAATGGAGTAGTCGGCCACACGAAGGGATGAAGGGACATTTCCAATCTAAACACAATTCAGAAAGGTTATCACATAGACCTGAGAGAGTGAGACGTACCTGAAGATTAAGGCCGTAATTTGCTTTCCTAGTGTAGTAGCCATGGCCATTCATTCCAGGCTTAGCGTAAAGAACAACAACTGTTCCATCGTACATGAGCCAACCTTCTCACCATAGCCCTTTGAACCCCATGTGTTCATCCATCCACACCTTCTCTGTTTCCTTTTCCTCGGGTGTCAGGGGACGCACGAACATATCGTGAAGGGATTCAATGGCAGTGAAGACTCGGTCTGTGAAATTTTTTATTGTGCCTTCACTGTATCCAGCCACGCGTGCAATATCCTCGTAAGAGGCAGCATTTCCGTATTGTCCTAAGCGATAGAGAGCAACTGCTAGTTGCTGGTCAATGGGAGTCTGGTCATTATGTGAATTGTTGGCAAAGACTTCGTGGTCCTTTATCAACTCCAGAATGACACTGAAGACGAAAGGTGAAACACGGAGCATATTGGTGAACCGCCTATGGTCCTCGGGATTTCTGGCATACACCCAGGCAAGATGGAGATTCCCTGCCTTTGCAACCTTTCCACGTTGACGAAGATAATGTGTATTTCGAATGGCATCAAGTGTCTGAATATCGACACTGAGCTTCTCCAGTAATGAGGTAAACTCGAGAGTGTCCGGTGGTGTAATCAGATCGCGCATGACCATGTGGGTCAGATAGGCCCGAGTAACTTTGGAATGGTATGTTTGTCGGGGCATTTGGCTCAGGGGAGGGTAGAGGGGGGAAGGGACTCGAGATCTGATGGTTTACTCACTTTAAATCATGACTGCGCGATGCTTTATCGATGAGAATCAGTAGATCTGCGCGATAATAGGGGCTAATCCCGAAAGGGCAGCGTGACTCTCCATCTCCGCTGATCGCGCGCCGAAAACGCTGCCGGGATCACTTGATCAAAAGCGTCCGGCGAAAAAAGCGAAAAAGCGTCCGGCGCGTTTTAACTTTGAGCTCCCCTATTGCAATGGCTTTTTCAGTAGTTGGTGGGCTAATGCATTATCGATACATCCATTGGTGCACATTTTGTGATGTTGTTAAGATGTTTCTTTTGCATTTTTTGACTGAACTCAAGGTGAAAATGATGGTGAAAAAATCAAAAGTTTTTTCACTAATTTTTTCAGCAGAAATCAAAGTGAAAAATGTGAAACGAAGTTGGTCATATTGTTAAGATGTTTGTTTTACATTTTTGACTGAAACTCAAGGTGAAAAATGCGAAATATCACTTGTTGAAAATTTCAATTTTTTGAGTGAAAAAATTCATAAAAATGTTATTCAATTTATTGGTATTTTTTCACCAAAAAAAGTAGTGAAAAATTTAAAACATTTTTCACCACTTTTGTGAGTTGAAATCAAAGTGAAAAATGTGAAACAAACCTCATGTTTTTCTTCGAACTAGTAATACCATTAATTCATACACATTTCAAGGTAAAAACAAAGGTGGAAAAATGAACAGTTTTGTTGACCAGTTGTTTCACTAGAAATAGAAGTAAAAAATACAAAACAAATAGTGGGGGCAAAAGCTAACTCACCCAGAATTCACATGTGTTTCACTCATGTGTTCCGAAGGTGGTTGGCAGCTAAACAAAGCCGATATCACAGTCCATCAATTGTTCTTTGCTAGACAAAATACACACAAAGAATAGACAAAGGACAGACAAAGGAGCTTGGAAATCCTGTGCTCCTTTGTCCTGTGTCCTTTGTCCTTTGTCCTTTGTCCTTTGTCCTTTGTCCTTTGTCCATTGTCCTTTGTCTTTTGTCCGTCCTTTGTCTATTGTCTGCCTTTCACTGTTGAAGCAATTCAAGTTTGTTTGACCGAAAAAGTGGTAAAAAATTCAAAATCTGTTTTGTACATTGTATTTTGGGTCCCAGTGGCATTTTAGATGTGTTTTAACCCCTGCATTCATTTCTGGTGTACTTGGGTCCATGCCACCCACCATTCCCTCACAGATTTGAAATCCGAGCTGAAAATCAAGCAAAATGGGTGTTTTAATCAGTACTTGGCCCGCGGTGAGTCCAATCCCAGACGGATTTTGGGGCCCCACAGCATTTTAGGTGCATTTCAGGTCCCTGAATCCATTTCCGGTGTGCTTCGGCCCATGTCGTCTGCCGTTCCCTCATGGATTTAAAATCCGACCTGAAA